TGTGCATAAAAACTATTTGTAGATTCAGAAGTTTCTTTCAGATGCAAACTGGAAGAAACAACATTTTCAAACAACTACTTTCACATGAAAATTCAATTACACAAAAAAACGCTTTACCCCTCCAGTTTGTACTTCAAACATTCATTATGAATTTCAATCAGATTTCATTTATAGGAACTATACAAAACGTAATATATGAAAGAGTATTGATATAACATGTCACTTACATGGAAAACTATCATCTTTAATGGTGTACTAAGAAGTTTTGGGACAAAATATTTGTCTTATCACCTGATGATCAACTGCATTTTACATAACATTACAAGACTAAGCACTCCTTTCTTTTATTAAATCTGTTTAAAATTTGTTTTTTCGTTAATCAGCTGTCGCCCCCATACGAACGACAACTCTCAGAAGTTGAGAATCTTGTGCGAGCTAAGGACTAACGAGGTCTTACCTTTTAACGGATGCTTCCTAACACGGTTGCAGAATCATTCCAGCTTCAACCAGATAAATTCTCTCGAGAAAAATATCTGGTCGAGGCGGGAATCGAACCCACGTTCTTCCGATCGTGAGTCGGGCGCACTACCACCGCGGCCAATTCCACAATTCATTAGATTACTGCTTCATGTCATCGGAAGGGAGAATTCTTCAACCGATACGACACGCGTGATAAAAAAAGTTGCAATTGCGTTGGTTTTATTGTACATAGTGAATTACATTGAAGATTAGGGTCGCTATTTTGTTTTGTGTTGTCTTTTAGTTCAGGATAACTGAAAGGTAAGAGTCATTAAGAGTAACAGCTAATATGTTTCCAAACATCCTTTAAATATAAAATGGTTAAGGCTTTCGCGGCCGAGATTTTCAGTGTCCCTATTTTACGGGTTTGAATTCCGTGGATTTTTGGAATTTCTTCAGAGTTAATAGTCAACTCAAGATGTATAAATCTCTGAGGAAGCTAGCCAGTCGCGCCAGCGAATAGCTGGGAAGAAATTCCAAAAATTCACGGCCTTCAAACCCGGAAAATTGTGACACGGATCCCTTACATATATTTACTAACCCACATACGAAAACGACAGTCGTTCTAATAAAATTCATCACCCTCAACAATAAGTTCAATTACATTTTCGGTGAAATCTTTGTGAGTTAGAAAAGATACCAGTGTTTTATGTCTTCAGACCAAACCGACCCTATTTGTTTTCTCGGAATTCGTCAACCCACACTCCCTTATAATTCCTATTCAGCATTGTGTTCGAGTTGTGTTTCAGCCGCACCCGAAACTGTGTGTTTTACAGAGATGGGCTGAAAAAAATTTGTTAGGTGAACTGTCATACGGAAACAATGTAAATAAAATAAATAATGGTATGATGAAATTTTCTGATGGTTTTATGTTCGTTGATAGTTTCAACACTTTATGATACTTTATACTACTACTTTTTGTCATATGCCATTGTATATCTATGTTAATTGTCGCTCTTTGCAGTTTCGCATACTTGAATCCACATCAATATAATTTGAGAGTTATTTTTATACATTAGTTACATTCTTTTTAAGCCTATTCGGTCGCACAAACTAATAGGTTATTTTATAAATTCATAATAATGTCACGACTTCAATTGGGTATTTTCGTAACCAGTTACCAATTTCCACTTATTGAGGGTTTCACTCTCAATTTCTTTGCTTCAATTCATTCACCCAGTTCATGAGGTAGGCAGTAAGTGAATGAAACAGTTGAATAAAATCAATACATCTATTTAAAATGAAAACAACACAACCGTACTTACAAATAACTCATCATAATTTCTGACAGTGTGTCACACAGGGCCGCCTGCAAGCAACTGCCTTCTGATTTTCCCTCAATCCCTCTCTTTCAATATCCAGGCGATAAATCGTTTGTCAGCAATTCCAACTCCCATCGCAAAAAAACAACATTACCTGAAGTACCGAAACAGCAGTCTCAGGAATTATAATTGCTGATATTACTGCTGATATTATTAATGTTAATATTACTTGATACAATGTGAATTGGATACTTCCGGATATGCCGCCCGGTATTCGGGGAAAATAACGAGGAATTGATATTTTAATAAATGAATTTGGATTTTATTGATTTTTCCCAATAATGTGACAATAAAATATACAACTATCATTGTAGCAAGTTTGAAGTACGTGTAGAAATAATTAGACTTTAATTGGTATACACGAAATAACAGCTTTATGGTAGGATAATGACCATTATGTTGATCTTGCTGTTTGTACTAGTAGCAACAATAATAAAGGTTATTTAATTCAATCTAGGAAGAATAGAAATATATTCAGATCATGCATTTGATGAATAATCAAAGTGTTAGCTGACGTTGCTTTTTTCACTCACATGAAACACTTTCATCCTCACTGGTAGACATTTTTGTATCAAGATGGAGTAGTTGAAAGGCAAAAATGTGTTTTTCCAATGTTTTATTTGAGTTCCTCTATTGCCTTGTATGTCAAAAACTTTCTCGTCTACATGGTGGTAGTATTATTTATATTCTACCTCTTGGATCATCTTAAGCCTTGCAGGAGTCCCGATGTACACGAGAACTTGAGTCCCTATGCACACGAAAACTTGAGCCCATATAAAGAAAATAAAAACGAAAATTCAGCATAATGTATTTCACATGTGTGTGACTTTCATGTATGTAGTGATGAAGACACTCCAAAAGCGGTCAACTAGATGAGTGGTTTTTCTCTGGGGACATGTTTTAGGACTTCGAATGTGAAACCCTAGAATTGCTAGGAATTGACACAGACAAGATAATAATTTTTATCATCAATAAACAGAAACATCATAGTGAAAACGATTGACAGTGTGTAGTCTCCTTGTAACACAGCAGTGAGGGTAATAAGTAGAAAGTTGAAAGGTTCTTTCCTTTTTTAACTTCCAGAGAATCATTAGCACGTCCAAATTTAAATAACTTTTCACAGAACTGCATATTCCCTGAAATACACATTTCTCAAACCATAAGTATAATCAGTCTTAGAAAACTTTGCTATACCTCATGCTCAGTCAGTCCCTGGGTCGAAATAAAGCTCTTTCTTTCAATTCATCAGATTAACATATTTCATATTTCGCTTTGGAGACTACCTTCTTTCTTCTCGCACTCTTGAAAGTACGGAGAAGATGCTATCTCGGTGTTTATTATACCACAAACTTTCCGCCAAAGTAATTACACATGCGAATTATGTACGACCGGAAAATAAAAGCAAAAGAAAGAAATAATGGTCAGTCGGTAACCTCTGTTTGACTCGCGGTTCTTGTTTGCATGAGGAGGTTTCAAGCTTTTTTTCACATGCGTAAATACGTACTTATAGCCTTGGTTTGTTTTACTTGACTTGAATTAGTGTTTTCTGTGCTGGCACTAATTATGATGTGATGCTGGGGTCAAAATGATTATACATTTCAAGAAAAGGTTGAACAACGAAACAATAGGTGTGTGTCATTGCGATAACTTGTAATTATTTTTTCTTTCGTCTGGGAAGGGCACTATTGCTTTCACGAGAGGGTAGGTAGTATTGTTTGAAAATGATGAGTAGGGATATTTTATTATTGACTTCCTTTCTATTTTTTGTATAATGAAAAGTAGGTTTTTCAATGGAGAAAGAATCACATATCAAAATTGAGACATCATCCCTGAATCTTAAACTATAACTTTATTGTCTACCATATTAGTGAGGTTAAGATAACATAGATTTTTTATGGAATTCAGCTTCACGGGCCAGAATTTTATGATTTTGGGTATAAAACTGCAAAAAATATTTTAGAAACTTTCCTTGAATGTTTTCCTAAATTGAAATTATAGAAAGTGAACAATCGAGTGATGCATGTGGTGCTCTCAAACATACCCTGAGGTTGCTGGATTCTATCCAGAAAAGAGTCATCCGCCTGATTGGAGACGCGAATATCACGTGCAACCTTGATAGCCTGGAACATCGAAGAAAGGTTCTATAGATACTTTCACGGGAAGTGTTCAAGTGATTTGGCACATTTGATTCTACCAAGAGCGGTACATATCAGAAGTTTGCGACGGACTGTGGCTTCTCATTGTTTTGAGGTTCAACTCAGTACACCTCGATCTTCACTGTTTAAGAACTCTTTCATCTGGAGAACTGCGTCTATGTGGAATAAACTTCCTGAGAACGTTTTTCCAAATGGATTTAATTTCCAGCGATTCAAATTCAATGTGAATCGCTAATTTCGCACAGGCACCGCTCTGATAGCGCCTTACGGATTTTCCTGCAGTTCTGGTGTTTTCTGCAGAAAAAATGTCATAATCATAATTGCTTCAATTTTTGATATTCAGAAAATGTGTTGCCTAATGGCAACAAAATATTATGTTTAGCGTTTGTTTAGTTTCAGTTTTTTCCACATCTTTGTGTAAAGGTACCTGGAAAGTATACTTTGATTAGTTTACTATGCTTTGAACAACTGAAATTTTTGTGGTTTCATTCGACAGAGAACATGAGTTTTTAATAACTTTTACTGTTGCTTCATTACGTTGTGTGAAACATGTATTTTTCATGAAATATCATATTCATCATGCTTTTTGATGTCATGTATAACCAGTTAGTTCAATTGAATGCTCATTAATTATACTATCACCAGTGAACAAACCTTTATATGAAAATATATTGCAACTAATCAACGATTTGCATCAATTATACATTTTAGGCAAGGTAAATCCATAGAATTCCCACATACCAAAATCATTTAATTATATCTAAATAATTAATTAGGTTAGAGAACTCAAAAATTGTCGTTTCACTTCAAAGAAAAGAATATTAATGACACTTTGGGGTTCTGAATGGAAAGAAAATTTGAATAAATTTTATATAAATAAGAGAAGTTAAATTAGACCACATGGCGAATTATTACTGTCAAAACCTTCCAATATATGTAAGCTAAATGATAATCGTATAAAATTTTGTGAAGGACCATATCCTTATATTATTTTTTGTTTCAGATACCTCATCTCCCATCTCTTGGTTCAAGGTAAGAGGAATATTCAGTTCAAAATAACGTTCATTTGATTTCGAGTTTGAAATTTATTACTAGATTTTATTTTAGTTAAAAATTCATATCACGTTCTGATAAAATAAGTTATATCATTTTTCCGAGCTGTAACAAGACATATTTACAGTCTAATATCTAGTGAAACACACGTTTCTGATTTATTCATTTATGATTCATTCATTTTTGATTCAACACCAGACCGCGCTGTTTCGATCCGCCATAGGTGTCATCAGTGGTGCTAGGCTGAACCACAAATGTATTGCTGGGGAGGCTCGTTTATCTCTGATATTCAAGGATTGAGTTCTCTGTCGATATCATAGATGGATTCTTCGTAAGTGGAGACGTCATTGCCTTCACCTCCACGTTTCTTGGTTCAAAAATAATTTCTACATTAATGTTAACAAGAATGACGTTTTTATGGAATATCACTCCGAATATTACTCATCAAATCATACCTTTGAATAGGCAACTGGATAATTAAAAAAACTTCAAATGATTTTACTCATAAATTTCTACAAGTGACCCATATTTAAATAGGTAATCTCGCTCTTATACAGGGTATTTCCTAATTGCGGTGAAAAAATGTAAGGTCACGTTGTGTGAAAAACAATTAGTTGTTGTTTTTGTCCAATTGTTGTTTAAATTTTTTTTTCTGGAAAACAAAGCGAGCTATGAAAACAGATCAAGGAATGGAATAGTTTGATTTTTGAATAGTTTACCTAACAAAATATTTAATGTTACAAGAAATATCATGGGCGTACATTTTTAAGTGAATAATAGTTGGCTGAACTGTGTTCTGCCAGCTATTATTCACAAAATTTGATGACACATATATCACTGTTTAATGAAAGTCCATGTTTCAAAATATGTTTCGATACTCAATTCCAATATTCACCTTAACATACAATTCTCATTCGTAAAATAATGAATCAGTTCTTTATTCTCCTTACAAATAATCTATATCATCAGTACTTACACAACATATATTTATCTGAATTGTTTTTTAGAATAATAACTCATAGGGAATTATTTTTCACCTGTTTATTTCGACTATCTTTACATGCCTGCAAACTTAAATAGAAATTAATTGCAAATTCTGAACAGACTAAATTTCGTTGAATGGGTGAACTTTCCAAGAGCTTTAATTGGTTTATATGTATATTGAGAATAAAATATTTCAACTGCCTATATCATCACTAACCAGTTACACTCTGATCCACTCTCAGAAGTATCCAGGAGACTGTGTAAGCTAAGACGAAAAAGTGGGTCGTACTTTTCAATGTACGCTTTCAAATATGGCAGTCATGGATATGGCAGAGAAATTCCGACCAAGCACAGGTCACACCCATCGTTATAATAACTTTATTCAGCCTACACCGACCCATTGCCATCTCAAAGACTGAGAAAAATACTCCCAACATCTGGCGATATAAAAATATTCGAAGCAATAAAAATATTTAAAGATTGGAAAAAGTTTTTACATTTGGAATAGATGTCTGCTCTTTGTTATAGTAAAATGAATATGTACGTTTATATTTTGATTTGCATAATGTTTGAATCTTTTAGTGTTCCCTCGTGAGAACTGGTCACTTAATTTGATAAAGTTTCAATTGATTTGTTCTTGAATACCAAAAGAGAAAGTACCTATTAAATAATATGTGAAGATACTTGAAATTATCTCACAGTCGTTACGAAACGAACTTGATTTCAATATGTGTACCCAGACAAGGTTATTTTGCACCTCAAAGAAAAATAAGCTCTAAAGTGGTCACCTTTTTCGTCAATTAACCGAGTTTGTTTTTTTCATTGTTTCAAATTTTCCCAAGCTAGCAGTTTGATATTCGTTTCTAAGATTTAGGAAATGACAATAAATATTATAATTTGAAAAAAAAGTATTTGAAACTAATTAACTTTTTGACAAAAGTGAAGATTATTTACAAATTGATTTCTTACATTATAGAATGTTTCTTTGGTAATTTCGTTAGGTGCAACTCTTATCCTAACCATGAGCTCTGGTAATAGACTGTGATTGTGTAACGTATACTTTAGATTTCAGGAATCCCTACAATAAATCTAAGAGCGTCATTTCAGCTAATCTAGCGGGTCATTTTGGGTTTGTCAATAATCCAAACAGGTAGACTGATGGATGTAGTCTCTTAGAAGAGCCCACTAGATCACCTGATATGACGGTTCTAGATGCTTCTGGAGGGATAGGTGACATTTGAAGTCTACTATACACAACCGCAGTTCATTTCAGAACTCGTGGATAGAATAAGAAGTTCTTGCAACATAATCACCCCAAGAAAATTTCATAATGTAAGAAGAAAATTTGTGAACAGACTTCACTATAGTCAGGTAGTGACAAGTAAACATTTTAATATTTATTGGAATGAACTGGAGTGAGTTTCGAATACATTTTTTTTTTTGAAATTATGAACTTTATCCTTTGCATATTTTTAAAACGATTGAATAGCTACTAAATACTCGGGAGCGGCTTTCTATAGAAAAAAGTTGGTTACAGCAACAAGTTATGTAACATTGTCTATTGTCTTTCTAACCAAAAAGTACTAAAATCATACTTTTTTACGTAAATTTTGTGCGACATTGATATTTTATCCCGTTCAAAAGTAGCGAGGGGGGGGGAATATTTACGTCAGGACTATGATACAAAGTGCTAAATACAACAGAGACTAAGCATTGGAGAAAGTATCAATCTTTTCTATATTGAAGTTGATTGTAATATGTTATTAGTACCATTGAAAAGTTGTAAATCGAAGGGCTAATTGGAATAGTACCTAACCTAACATAACCTCATTTCTTTGGACACGCATGACAAAGCACACTATTCGATCAGCCCATGTTAGTGAAGTAAGATTCTCTAAGTTGTGGTTGCGCTACGTTTTGTTTGTCTTACAGTGATGCATGTGATGGAATGTGTATGGTCAGAACTCCTTCTGACTTCGCCATGATTAAATATAAATTAACATTCTTACCGGTGAGAACATTCCCTCTGACAGGTGAAGGAATTGTTTACTGTGCCCAGTTCCAAAACAGTTCAGAATATACTGTTGAAGCTGTGATTTCAACATGTGGTTGGACATACCTACAAATTATATAGTCAAATCATACTTAGTTTGTGTTATATCTGTTGGTTTTGATATGCAAATGGGGGATTATCTGATGGTAGAAGATGCTGCATTTCGAACATATTTATTAGAAGATTCACAGGGTGCATAAACCAATGAGTGAAAAACATTCAAATGGTTTTTCATCCCTTCGAATATAAGATATGTTTCCTATTGGACACCAAGGGGTTACTTAGTTGGAAGTAAAAGCATCAAAATATCCATCGTACATTCTTGTTTCAGTCATATTTACATGTAATGTCACCCTAATGTCTAAAAAAGCCAAATCGAATGAATAATTTGCTTACTTTCTGGTGGGAGTAAGTTAATTGGATATCGTTGACATAATGTAATTGTATCTGGTACATAAATCAAGTGAAACTAAGAGTAAACAATGAAAAAGACTTGACATTCCTTTGTTATAGAATAATATATTTCTGACGAAGTTACATAACGGACTTGAAATATGACAAAAGTAATTACAATTGCTGATTGTTATCTGAACATTATTCATATGGCTATTACTTTTTCTACTTTATTAGTGCATTACTGTATTTGCGAATTGTTCGTTGAAGTGAATACTTTTTTAGGAACGATTGGAATGGAACCACTGTTTTTATTTTTCAATCAGATTCTATTTTCGTTATCATTTGATTAAAAATTCAGAATATTAAGGTCAAAGGACCATCAAAAAATAATTTCAGATTGATTAAGATTTTTTTTGTGGAGATGCACAGGTACGACATAAAAATCCTTTAGATGCTTGGAGATCCGTGCCTTTGCAAAAAGGGCGATATACGTTGAATTTGAATTATACCGTTTTTCAAATAGGAATTGTGTGTTAGGTGTCTGATCTAACTTTGTAGAGAAATCTAGGCCTGGGTTGAATTCTAGTTGGTTACTACTGCAAGCTGAAATTTCTTCCAAGTATCAAGATATACAACTTCTTGTTAATAACGTATTCAAAAAATACATTTCAATGTGAGATTTCTATTCGAAAGTTTAGAAAACCACGACATGTGTATTTCTATACAATAGAATCTTCGGGCGTCACAATACTGTTTAAGCCAATTCATTGTCGCGCTCTTATAGTAATAATCCCAAATTTTTACATCTATTTATTTCGTAATTGAATAGAACTGGCCGATACTTGATGAAAATCCATATTTAAAAAACTAATAAATAGAGTTTATTCTATGATTTTCACTATAAGGGTTTTACAAAATCCGCGACACGTGTTTCGCTATACAATAGCTTCTTCAAGCAGTTATGCTTATAGTGAAAATCATAGAATAAACTCTATTTATTAGTTTTTTTTTCTATTTATTTCTATACTTTCCAAAAAGTTCTTCCAAATGAAATACGTCATAATCGTGATTGAACTCATGCTCCTCTATCGAAAGATGGTTCGCAAAAGTTGAATTAGTCTTCCCATTCAAAAAACCACCTCTAGGCTCTTTTACTCTTTTGGAAAAAGTTCTTCCAGTTTGCCCGATAAATTTTGGACAAGAACCACAAGTCAACTTATATACTCCGGATCTATCGCGGCAATGGAGTTTTATCTTTATTGTTTTAATGAATTTACTCAAGTTTTCATTTGTTCTGTAGGCAACGTCCAATTCTTTTTTTAAGACTTTTTAACAACGAGCGATATTATTAGTTTTTAAAAACGAGTCGTTAAGTTGTTTATTACAAGCTGATGTTGGGATATCTGAATGAAAAGACGGAACAAGTGTGCTGCCGGCAGTGAAACAATACTCGTATATTACAATTACACGTACAATAGAATAAATGTTGGAGATATTATGAATCTCTGGTGAATACTAGAGTTAATAGTGAGTGTAATCGATGACT